TTTTTCCTTTCTGTTTTTCGCTTTCCTTTCTCTCCCTCTTCCTCCCTCTTTATTTCACTCACCCTCCTTCCCTCCCTTTCTCTCATTTCTCGGCCTGCTTTCTCTTTTAATCTCCTCCCTCTCCCTCCTTTTCTCCTTTCCTCTCTTCCTCCTCCTCTTTCCTCCCCATTCCCTCCCTCTCCCTATACTCCACCTCCTTCTCCCTCTCTCTGCTCTCCCTCCCTCTCTTCAGCACCCGTCTCTCTCTCTCTCTTTCTCTCCTCACTTGCTCTCCTCCCTCCCGAATCATCTGCTTTAATCCGTCTTCTTACTCCTCTCTCTCTCATCCTCCCTCTCTCTCCTCTTCCTCCCTCCTCTCTCTCTCTCTCTCTCTCCCTCCCTCCATCTTCATCTCCTCTTCCCTCCCCCCCTCCCTCTCTCTTCATCTCTTTCCCTCCCTCCATCCATCTCCCTCCTTCCATCTTCATTTCTCCTCTCTCTCCCTTCCTCCCTCCCTACCTCCATCTTCATCTCTCTCTCTCTCCCTCTCCCTCTCTCCCCCTCCTCTCCCTCCCTCCTCCCTCCCTCCCTCTCTCCCTCCCCTCTCTCCTCCCTCCCTCTCTCCCTCCCTCTCCCTCTCTTCTCGCTTCTCGCTGTCCCCCCAAAATCCCATTCTCGCATCTTCACCCACTAACCGGTCTTCGAAGCTCGTCATAGCGATCGTGGTGGCCTCTCCTGATGGGTTTTCGAAGCCCCTTGCGACGACTCTCTCGCTCTGCATCGTCAGTCATCCTGTTTTTTTTTTTCTCTCTCTCTCTCTCTCTTTTCTCTTTTTTTTTCTCAGGGCCACGGTGATGCATTTTTGCGAGAGGTTTTTTCTTTCTTATTTTCTCTATTATTTGTTTGTTATTTTTTATTTTTTTTTTTTTTGTTTTTGTTTTTTTTTTTCTTTTTTTTTCTCTGTGCAACGGTGATGCATTTTGCTTTTCTCTATTGTTTGTTATGTTATTTTTCATTTTTTTTTATTTTTATTTTATTTATTTTTTCTGTGCAACGGTGATGCATTTTGCGAGAGACCTTTTCTTTCTTATTTTCTCTATTACTTGTTTGACATTATTTTTTTATCTATTCATTTTCAATGCCACGGTGGTCCATTATCCATGAGTTTTTTTTTTTCTTTTTCTCTATCACTTGTTATTTTTTTTTTTTTATTTATCGTCGTATTTAATTGTTTATTTATTTTTGCAATGAGTTTTTTCTTTCTTTCTTTCTTTCTTACTTGTTTATCTATTCTTCGAAGAATAGGGAGAATGCAAACGAGGAGGAATTCAGTCCATAAAGATTTTTTTCGTTTTTTTTCTCTCTGTTTTCCTCTTCTGTTGTCTGTTTGTCTGGCTATCTGTGTGTGTGTATGTGTGTGTCTAATTGTCTGTATTTATCTATCTGTCTGTCTGTGTCTATCCATCCATCCACCTATCTCTCTATCTATTGATCTATCTATCTTTATATCTGTCTATATATCTATTTATTTATTGATCTATCTATCTATATACCTACTTACCTGTCTATCTACCTATCAGTCCATCCATCCACCTGTCTGTCTATCTACCTATTTATCTATCTACCTATCTATCTATCTACCTATCTATCTATCCATCCATGCACACATCTATCTATCCCTTATGCTCTCTCTCTCTCTATCACCGTATCTATTTCTATCACCTCTTCCTCCCTTTCCCTTCTCTCGTATTCCCTTCCCATTCCTTTACGTTATTTTATCTAACACGATTGGTTGTCCTTTTATCTCCATCTATATCTCCATTTTCTCTTCCTGTCTATCTTTCTCTCTATTCATCTATCGTATATATCTAAGCATAGAAAGGTAAAAGAATTTAATAAAAATAGAGATATCTATGTTCACCATTAACATTTTTCTTGTTTTATTTCTGCTTTTCCTTATTCTCTTTCGTTTATCCTTTGTTATTTAATGTAGTAATGTTGTTTTGTATATTTTTTATTTCTTCAGCACTAGCGTCGCTTCTGTTGCTTTGCCCTCTCTCCATTTTCGCTTTCTGTCTATCTGTCTATCTACCTACATACCTATATATCTATCCACCTATTTATCTATCTATCCATCCATCCATCTACCTATCTATCTGCCCATCTATCTATCCACCCATCCATCTACTTATCTCTTACTCATATCTATCCACCACCCATCTACTTATCTATCTACCCATCTATCTATCCACCAATTCATCTATCTATTTATCTCTCTTCTTACGTACCTGTTTTTCTCTTTCTCTCTATCTATCTATTTGTTGGATTGTCTGTCTGTCTAATTAAGCGCCACGTTCCAGATATCTACAGACTCTTATCACACAAAAAAAGAATCGATCAAGGTAACTTTGATCATTAATTACCATCCAGGTTTATCGTTCGTGAGATTTCGAAAGCTGGCGAAAATACATTTAAATTTGCTCATCAAACTCAGCCTGTTATGGCATCACTGAACGCTGGG